CCTAATTTTTTATCCTAACTTTGCATGTGTAGTTGTTATTGATAATAATTCTTTTTTTTTTCTTTTTTTTTTTTGCTTTTAGATCATTGTAATGGCATTGATTACAATGATAGTCTTCCTACGAACTGACATGCATTGAAATTCAACAAGCCAGATTAGAAATTTGGGAGTTTTTTCAAATTTATCTGGTTGTTCAAATTTCTCTGATAGGTCTCTAAGTTGTTCAAATTTCTCTGGTTGTTGAAATTTCTCTGGTAGATCTTTGGTTTGTTCAAATTTCTCTAGTAGGTCTCTAGGTTGTTGAAATTTCTCTGGTAGATATTTGGTTTGTTCAAATTTCTTTGGTAGGTCTCTAGGTTGTTCAAATTTCTCTGGTTGTTGAAATTTCTCTGGTAGATATTTGGTTTGTTCAAATTTCTTTGGTAGGTCTCTAGGTTGTTGAAATTTCTCTGGTAGATATTTGGTTTGTTCAAATTTCTCTAGTAGGTCTCTAGGTTGTTCAAATTTCTCTGGTTGTTCAAATTTCTCTGGTAGATCTTTGGTTTGTTCAAATTTCTCTGGTAGGTCTCTAGGTTGTTAAAATTTCTCTGTAGATATTTGGTTTGTTCAAATTTCTCTGGTAGGTCTCTAGGTTGTTCAAATTTCTCTAGTTGTTCAACTTTCTCTAGAAGCTTTGTTATTGCCTTATGCTACCTCCAGTTAATCATTTATCTTGTTGTGCATTTGTGTTGATGCTATCAAAGTGCTCTTGCTTATATTGCTTTCATGATGCTTCTACAGCTGATGTAGAAAGAAGATGATGATGATGATATGAAAACTATCAAAGAATTTCTCTGGAGAAAGAATTTGAATTTGAACTCAAAGAAATTGGTCTAAGGTCCCTCTCCTATTTTTGATAATGAAATAGATCCACAATATTTGAATTTGAATTTGAACACAAAGAAATTTGAATTTGAATTTGAATTTGAATTTGAACTCAGAGAAAATTGGTCAAAATGATTTCATAAAATAATAATGTGTCTTTATGATCCAGAGAAAAGGTTAAAATGAACCCAGAAAAATTTGAATTTGAACCCAGAGAAAATTGGTTAAAATGAATCCAGAGAAATTTGAATTTTCTCTGGGTTGAACCCAGAGAAATTCTTTGGAAGTCCAGAATTTCTCTGGTTCAGAATTTCTCTTGACAAAATTTCTCTGGTTCAGAATTTCTCTGGACAAAATTTCTCTGGATGAAATTTCTTTATATTAAATTGAGGGACTTTAGACATTATGAAAATATTAGATATCATTTATGCTATAAAATCTTAATACCAGGGACCTTAAAAAAAAATCCTAAAAAAAATAAAAAGATGGTATGACCTAAAAAAGTTAAAAAGTCAAAAAAAAATGACTTTTATCCTAGTTGCCAAAACAAGCTTGTAAGCCATTTCCCAAAAGATGCTTAAGGCCTATTTTGGAAATAAAGAAAAAAAGTTTGCTTTGGCTTATTTTTAAAAATTCAAAAGCCAGCTTATTTGAGTAAAAAAACATTTGGAAAGTTAGAAATAAGTCAACCAGCAAAATTATCAAAATAATCTAGTGCGTGAATAAGCCAAACAAAAAACAAAACAAAATTGCGCAAGAGTAATATGATCAATTTACAATTTTGCAAGCGAAGTGATATCATATTACAAAAAAAAATTTAAAAAAAAACAAAAAAATTGCTTATTTTCATCTTCCCAAATAATTTTGTAAATATACCACAAAAAAAAAAAAAAAAACCTACTTATTGCGATCTTCTCAAAATATGCTTAATTTAAGAAAAGTTTCTTCAACGGACTGGCAAGAAGAGTAGTTAAAATAACCTTTGCTGTTGGGCCACAATATACTAATAATTTTTTTTTTCTCTCATAATGTTTTTTTAATTTTATTTTTAAATTACTTGCCTCTTTTATTTTCTTTTACATAAAAATATGTTAAATGAATATTTTTTTAAAAAAAATAGTTAAAATAAAGTGTATTGTTGATATATACTAAGAAAGATTTAATTTTTTTGTAATATATATGGATCAGGTTTCTCTTATGTCCAATCTAAAATCGAACTAGAACATACTGTTGAACCTGTGGAATTTATCACGGATCCCATTTCAATAATCTAAACCGTTTAATATCTAGAGTTCATCGAATATTTTATTCATGCAAAAAAAAATCACGATGAGCGGATATTCATAGTCACTTAATCAGATCATATTTTTGTCAATGATAAATATGATTTTAAAAGTAAATTTTGGACAAAAATGTATTCCGATCAAGTGAGTATTGATATCCGATCAACATGATTTTTTTATAGAAATAAAGTACTCGACGAATCCTACACATTGACGGTTTTAATCAATAAAATGAAACCGTAGTGGGCTTCACAAGGCCAACAACACCGTCCAATCCACAATGACGAGAATATGATTGATGATTAAATCCCAAATACAATTAATGGGGTGGTTTAGGAGTGGTTTCAGTGTTTAATCCTCTTTTAAATCTGAAAAAAAAAATAAAAAATAAATTGATTCATATAAAATATTATTATGAAATTTAATTAATTACAATTATGATAATGAAAATCAAATATAACATATAATTAATAAAAAAATTAAAATTAAAGAAAAAGTCTCAATTAATATATGACACGAGAGATATTCAAAAACTCAGGTGCAGAAGTAAACTAGTAAACTGATGAGGTAAAATTTTAGTACTAAAATATTTTGATTATTATATTACCCTCCTCGCTATTACAAATATGTGATAAGAGTTTGTAATGAGTAAACTCTATTATTATATCAACCAACAAATACTGTAGGTGCAGAAGTAAACTAGTAAACTGATGAGGTAAAATTTTAGTACTAAAATATTTTGATTATTATATTACTCTCCTCGCTATTACAAATATGTGATAAGAGTTTGTAATGAGTAAACTCTATTATTATATCAACCAATAAATACTGTAGGTTTAGTTTGGGCAGTGGGTTGTTTTTTTAATTTTTTGATTATTTTAATTTGGGATTAAAAAGTCTTGTTTGGATTGAATTTTTTTATTTTTTGTAAGATAAAAAATGAGTCTATTTGGTAACCATTTTATTTTCAATTTTCAATTTATATTTTTACAAAAATTAAAAAAACTATCATAAAAATTTGTTTGACAATTTTTTTGGGTATATAAATGGTTGTCTCGGTTTGTAAATTTGAGAAAAAAATGTAAACTCAAAAAATAAGTTTACGTTAGTATTTAAACAAAAATTTAAAAATTTAACTAATAAATTTTTTTTTTCAAATAATTTTTTTCAATTATAATGTGTATGATCCCATTGTCATAAATAATAAAAAATAACTAAAAATATTTTAGACCTAAATAAACATATTTTTTAGTTTATATTTTTAAAATTTTTCAAACATTTTGTTCAAACTAAACGCATTTGTAGTTTATGTTTTTTAAAAATAAACAAAAATCAGTTTATAAAAATTTTGTAAACATAAACCAAAAACGTAAACATTACCAAACGTTACCTTAGGAATTAAATGTGACATCTTTTCTTATTGATTTTTTAAACTTATTTTGTACTTTTGTGACTATTTTAACCTACTAAACTCATGCCAAACAAGGGCTTAATGATTTTTTTTAATTAAAATAATTGTTCTATTTTATAACCAATTAGATCATCTTCAATGGTTCATCAAATTTAAATTTGATGAAAAAAGTAACTTTTTGCTCTTTCAACAGTTCATCGAATCTATCATCAAATCATGGATTTCAATTTTCTTTTATCAAACTAAGGATCAATGTGTCTTTCATCAAATCACTATTCATTACCGTTCAATTTTTACCACCAGATATCCCCTAGATGCCCATTGGATATCCTCTCGAATAATCACTTCAAGGCAAATTTTTGTGAAAAAAATTATATTGGCCGGTCGACCAGCCAATCGTCTGCTTGGTAGCCCCTCCAGATGACCACCTCAAGATAAAAATTTGTGAAAATTTTACATTAACTAGGCGACCGGCCGAATATCTACCCGATCATCCGCCCGATCAACTGATATTCTGATAAATTTGAAAAATCTCCGTTAAAGTTCTTGATATCAAATAAACCTTCCATTTAAATTTTTACACAAGTTTAATGAAAAATTTGATATACAGTTGAAAATGCTCTTCCATAGGTAGGGCTGCAAATGAACAAAGCCGTTCGTGAACAGGTTCGAACTCGGCTTGGTAAGAGCTCGTTCGAACGCGGTTCGTTAATTATTTTTTTTTGCGTTCAAGCGAGCTCGAGCTCGAGCTCGTTAAATTTTTAATAAACAAACCCAAATATTTTAAAACTCGGCTCATAAACTCGGCTCATAAGCTCGGCTTGTTTAATATTATTATTTATATATTAAATAATATAAAAATATGTATAAAAAATAAAAGAAATATGCTATTTATATATTTAAAAAATATAAATCTAAATAATAGTTAACTATAGATAGTACATTTATATAATAGTGATAGTAAATATTATTATTTTAGTAAAATATGGACTTTTTTTAGTATATTTATATATATTATATATATAACTGTATAATCAAAATTTTAATTATAACTTTAGTCTCACGTGTAAATATGAATTTATAATTTTTTTGATTCGTTAAGACTCAAGCTTAAATCGAGTCTAAACCAATTCAGCTCGAGCTCGGTTTATTAATTTTTACTCAACTCAAGTCTATTAAAATCTTAATAAACAAATCCAAACTCACTAAAACTCGGCTCGTTTTTAGCCCGACCCATGGCTAATAATAAAGGAAAATGTTTGAGGGCCCTAATTTCTGTGGCTCAAATGGCTCAAATTTGCCAAAACGACGTCGTTTTGACAATTTTAATGTTGTTTTATACTCAAAACGACATCATTTTGACAAATTCGAGCCATTTGAGTCACAGAAATTAAGGCCTCTATCATTGTTGAATAATAAAACAGCTCTCTTTTTGGCATCGGGGACACATTACGATCCGTCGGAAATCGATTAAGTGAAGTTTAATCCGTTTATTTTTTGGCCCCTTTTCTCACTTTCTTTCTTGGGGAAGAAACTGATGCGAAATTTTCCCAGCAAACAAACATCTGAGAATCGTGTTGTCCCCAATGCCTCCTCTCAAGAAAACAAAGAAACCGAAACGGGATTCGAAGAAATTGAAGAAAAGGAGAAGTGTAAGGACAGTTCCCACAGAAAGTAAAGCCACTGAGTCCGATTGGTGGGATAGTTTCTGGCACAATAACTCTCCAATCTCAGGTTTCTTTTCTCTCAATTCTCTTCCTTTTTTCTCTTTCACTGCATTTTTATGGGAAAAAAAGAAAACTACAAATCAGTTGTAATTAACTTCATGTGTGCCTGTATTTTTGCACCAATTTATTTTTTGAGGGGGATTCAAAGTTTCAATTCTAGGGTTTCATTTGATCTTGATTGTTTTAGCTGGTTCACATTTCTTTGTTCAAAAACTCTCTCTCTCTCTCTCTCTCTCTCTCTCTCTCTCTGGCTTTACCATGGTTTCCTAAAAATGGATGATTTTAAATCTTGTCAATGTCTATCATCTAGTGGTTGTGTACACTTTGGTCATGTTTGACTCACATTAGTATTCACTATCCAATTGGATTAATATCTATTAGATTAATAATCCCACCCCTACCCCATTACTTAATAATTGTTGGATTAATTATCCATTGAATTAATAATACTAAACCAAAATGTTAAAACAAAAATAGGATAATTGGGCCCGCGGATTAATAATCTCAATCCCATACTATAATTCACCCAATCAAACATGCCCTTCGTGGTATGAGTTTGCAGGTTCAACTTTTATGAAGAGAGGAATGTGATATCCTTGTGGTCTTTATTTTTTCTATTATGGGTTGTATGTACTTATATATTTCTTCCCAAAGCTTGGGTTATTTCTTGCGGTGATTTTTATGCTTAGTGACTGTTGGCTTTCTAGTTATTGTTAGATTATGATTGTCTAGTTTGATATAATGTTTATCATATTTGTGGTTATGGTTTGACCAAAAAAAAAAGAAACGGCAATGGCATTTTTTCTACAAGGCTAATGTGATTAAGGGTGCCAGTATTGTGCCGTGTTGGTGGTTGAATATGGTCAATCCTAACCCCCTAAATTTGTATACGGTTTGTGTCGTATTAACACATCGTCTCAAAATTCTCCCCCTTAAATGTGATCAAGATTTCAAAGTCATAATCATATTCTTCTGTAGCCTAAGGGAGGATGCCCAAGAGGCTTACTGGAAGCTTTACGCACCTTTCAATATTTCATTGACTTGTGCATACAATTGGAATGTCTAATTTTGTTTCATTCGTGCAACTCAAATTTTCAGGCTCAGCAATACTTTCTGATGAGGCAGAGGGATTCAAATACTTCTTTCGGGTATCAAAGAAAACATTTGATTACATATGCTCACTTGTCAGAGAGGATCTTGTTTCAAGACCGCCGTCTGGTCTCATCAACATTGAAGGAAGACTTCTTAGTGTCGAGAAACAAGTTGCGATTGCCCTCAGAAGGTTGGCTTCTGGTGAGTCCCAAGTTTCAGTGGGAGCTTCTTTTGGTGTTGGCCAGTCCACAGTATCTCAGGTAACTTGGCGATTCATTGAAGCACTGGAAGAACGTGCCAAGCACCATCTCAAGTGGCCTGATTCCAATAGAATGGAGGAAATTAAGTCCAAATTAGAGGCATCATTTGGGTTGCCCAATTGTTGTGGAGCCATAGATGCAACCCACATTGTTATGACTCTTCCGGCAATTGAAACTTCAGATGATTGGTGTGACCAGGAGAACAACTACAGCATGTTTTTACAAGGAATTGTTGATGATGAAATGAGATTTCTTGATATTGTGACGGGTTTTCCTGGGAGTATGCCTATTTCCAGACTATTGAAGTGTTCTGGATTTTACAAACACTGTGATGGTGGCCATCGATTGAATGGAAATCCACGAAAGAATTCTGAAGGAGCAGAGATTAGAGAATATATTGTAGGCGGAGCTGGCTACCCTCTTCTTCCATGGCTCATTACACCTTGTGAAAATGGTGACCTTTGGGCTGCAGTGTCTGATTTCAATGCAATACACAAGGCTGCATGGTCGCTTTCTGTGAAGGCATTCTCACAGTTAAAGGGTGGTTGGAGAATACTTAATAAGGTTATGTGGAGACCAGATAAGCACAAACTGCCGAGTATTATCTTAGTCTGTGTTTTACTTCACAATATTATGATTGACAGCGGTGACAATTTGTGTCCAGATGTTGCCTTGTCTGGTCACCATGACTCAGGTTATGTGGAACAGTGCTGTAAACAAGTTGATCCACTGGGAAGAACCATTAGGGAGAACTTGGTTAAACACTTGCATCTTAGCAAACATAAGGCTCTACCCAATTAATTATTTCCCATCTAACTTCTTCAGTCTTATGTAAAGTTTGGTTTTATTGTCGCATTTGATGAAACTGAAAGTATCAACAAGCTGTAATTTTTTTGGTTTTGATTGTGCTACTAGTCTCGATAATCTCCATGAACCACCATTTGAGTTTCTATTTATTGGTTTTCCCCATCTTTTCAGCGAAGTTTGACCTCTTCCAATGATCAAATGAGAATAGAATTTCCATCTGAGAGATCTCTTCATGCAAAAATATGAAGGTTTAAGCGTGTATTTGGATATCATATGAAAATGAAATCATCTGCAATGTTTTTTAAGGACAGATTTTTTTTCCTTTTTTTTTCTTTTTTTTTCAGAACAGGTAAGCATGCGGATATTGAAATTAGTCCTTTTTGTCTGTTATCAGATTTCTTGAGTTTGAATCAGCACTAGTCTCTCTCTTTTTCTCTGTGTATAGTTTAAGTTTCAGTCTACTTAGTGTTAGACGTCCCCACATGCCCTAAAATCCTTTAAAAACACTCTCATCTCACTCATGTTCAGCAACATTTGAGGTTATAGCATTTTATCATTGTTTCATCTGTGAATAAACACTGATCAGAGATAGAATTATTGCCCATAGCTCTGTCTGGAAGGAAGGTCACAGACAGCCTGGCACGATCGCAAGGCTTCAACTTGTAATGTGAAACTTGAAGACCTTGGTAATAGATTTGGTTATTTTTACTCATAATTTTTTTTATAATCATCCTTTTCATCCTCGATTTTCATTTTTGTTGTATTCAGGGTGTCGAAGTGGAGTTATATAGCCATATCAGTTTATTGTGACCCCATTAGACAGATTTTTCTTTTGAGTTCAATTTTTGTAAACATCTTTTCTTTTTTCTTTTTTCTTTTTTTCTTCCCATTATTGCTTGTTCAATTGTAATTACCTGAGCTCAGTTATTTAATTTTTCCTGATTGAATTTTAGAATGATGAGGTTAGTCTGTAAGCAGAGGATATAATCATTAATCATTGGAACCTCACATTTTCTTGTTTCTCTTGCTAATTATGAAAGGTTGTGTTTGGATAAGGATTTCAGATTGGATTGGTGCAAGGAAAGGAAGAAGGGAAAAGTGAATGAAATGAAAGCTAAATTTTTTCACTTTTTCTTTCCCTTTACAAATCCCACTTCAAATCCTTGATCCAATCACAGCACAAATACTTCACAACGTACTTTGATATCTATGATGTTTAAGTGGCTAGCTTTGATTAGGGTTCCTGTTCATTTGAAGACAGTATACACCTGCAGTTCTTGGATGCATGGAGGCATTCCAACTTGCTCAGAGTGAATCTGAAAGTACTATCTTACCAAATATCGTTCCAATAGAGATTCTGCATCCAGTTATTAGATCATACATGCTGTTTTTAGCTTGGATATAGAATATTATGTGATTGCAAATATGGCATCTAGATTTGCATTCCTCCTTATATTTATAGGTTGCAGGTTCTGTTTGAATTTTGAACTGTATTTCTTCTTTATCCTTGTAGACTAGGAGCTGCTCCCTTTTTTGGTTCGCAGTTTATGGTGCTACATTCACAGCATGACCCGAGAAGCCATGGCAAAAGAGGGCTACAATCTAAATGACTAAAAAAGAAAACAGAGCTTGCCAATCAGGCATCTATCCTTGCAAGAATTGCTTTATCTTTAGAGATTAGCATCATCAGCTTCTCAACAACTGGATCTATCTGATATGAAGATTGTGCCATAGTCATAAAGTCTGGAGAAGAGTCAGAGTCTTCATAATCAGATTTGGATGAAGCAGCTGAAGTAGTTTCCACCACCAGACATGACTAAAGATCATTCAGCTAGCCCCAAACTAGGAAACCTTTTACTCCAACTGCAATATTGAATGTCATGCCCTCAACGGTAACAAAATATAGCGGATAAAACTAGCTGCTAAGAACAATAATTACATAACATGAAAATTGATTTCCCATGAAGAAAAGTTTTCCCAACACGATCCAAATTATTTTGAAGGAAACAAAGCTCCCCCAACAGTAGCTTATTATGATTTAGACGGACCCTGACATTTACAGTACTTCCTCCTAAACTAAATTAAGGACAAAATACTCTAATTAAACCAAGGCAACACATACAAGTCTTAAAACATCTCGATAGAGAAAATTTATAGACAACAAAGAAAAAAAGAAAAAGAAATATGAACTCTAACTGATATGCCGATTTACATGTAAAATAACTCAGTCTCCCCTTGTTGGAGGCCGGACACAACCACAAAAGGTCCCTTTCTTTCTCCTATGGCCAGTTCTCACACCACCGCCATAGAGATAGTCACTAAGCAGAACTCTTCTTTTTGAGTCTGTGAGTACCATTTTCCCTTTGCTTTCTTTTTCATTTTCATCATCAAGTTTTAGCAAAACAAACTGTATTTTTTGTACTTCCAACTGCAACCGCCCAATTTTTTCAGACACTTTTCGTGCTTGGTCTGAAATTTTCCTTCTTCTGTTGCTGATGCTCCCACTCTCTTCTGAATCCATTGCAGGTTTGCCATCAACAGCAAATGATCTGTCTTCGATACTTTTCATCAATTTACTATTCAGATCAAACAATTTCAGGATAGCCTCCTCAGCTTCTTCCAACTGCAACTTCAGAGTATCAGAGTCATCAAAAGCTTTACTCTTTTTCTCCTTTTCACTAATCTCGACTTTCCTCTTCAAATCTTGCACGGTGATTTGAAGGTTTGTCAGTTTCTGGATATCAGAATTAAGCCTCTCCAAGACCTTGTTCTTGTTCAATTCTCGACGTGACTCTGAAAATGTCCTGGAAATCTCTAGTTTGTCCACACCCAACTCCTTTTCAATCAGTATTTCTGAATTGGGATATCTACTCCTCTGTTTCTTCACCACCTCAACTGGAAAACCTTTTTCAGTAGGTGCAGTGACTATTTTCTTTCCCTTCCCAACGGTAAGATCGATGCTGCCATCAAGATCAGCAATATCCCATAACTCAAGCATGTGACTATTTGCATTGGCACATTCTCTCCTGCTTATCCCATAGGATGAACATTCAGAAATCTGATCGAGCATAATGTCTTTTGTCAGAAGTCCATTTTCCAATTCGGAGATCTCAGACGTGGGCCTAACATTTTCTTGGTTTGAGCCACCTTTGAATTTTAACTCTTCAATCTGTCTCATTGCAGCCTCTAGCTTGGTATTAGCATTAATGTTTTCCTGTGTCACAAAACTCTCCATTTCAATCACTGCCTTCTCAACAGCTTTAATCCTTGTTTGCAAATCCTGCAACTCTGAAAATTCATCTGGCATCTTTTGATCTGCACTATGATTCGCCAATTCAGCATCCTGGAAACAAGAACTTGAACAAATTACTCGCAGTGCTTGTTCATGGCACAGCCTATATATCAGAAAACTTTTCCGCTACCGTAGTTACATGGACTATGATACGTATGTTTTATGTACGGGTTTACTAGGTACTGGACTCGACCTAATCTTAAAAATTCTTGGGATATTCCTTTGTTCAAAATGAATGTCTACATAACCAGCATAACCAACTTCATGATCTTGAAATTCCCAAGAATTTTTATTTAGTTCATGCAACAAGCAAACAGACGCATATCATCTTGGGGGAACTTGCAAGGAACCAGGCATGCAAGGAAATCAGCTGCCAAAAGTCAGACAGCTTAAAATAGTACTTGGGATTACTAACAGCTCCTGGTGGCATATGGTACCTAAAGGTTCTATTTCTCTGACAAACTACCAAGCCAAACATCAACTCAACTTAATGACTTCTAGAACAAAAAATGCCTAGTTTTGTTAAATTATTGTGCTGATGAGAGAATATAAGTACCTTGAAGGAGGTTCATGGGAAAAGTAAAATGGATAGACAAATTGGTTTTAAATAAAGAAACAAAATACAATGGATTAAAAGGTGCAGGAATGATTGAAGATTTTTGTATATATGTTATAAACTAACATTACCTTCAGTCCCTCATTGTTGCTTTGTTGAAGCTTTCTATGCAAACAGGTATGGTTCTCCAGGGATAATATACAATCCTTTAAAGCATTGATGGCTGGGACATATGCAGCCAACTGAGTTTTGAGTCCTCCATTTTCACCTTCCAAAGTGCTGATTCTTTCTTTCATCTTTTCAATGTCCATATTTTTAGAAGTAGTTTCACCTTCAAGGCTTTTACATGCTTCAGTTAGCTGATGAACCTTCTCTTCAAACAAAGCTTGAAAGAGAGCGGAGATCTGTAGATCACCAAAAAAGGTTGTGGCCTCACTCTCCCATAGATTAATCTCATTGTTTCCCTTTTGCACCTCATAGAACAAACTTTCCTCTCTGCTTCTGGTTTTTTCATGTTCTTCATGCAAATGGTGCAGTTCAAACTCAAGTTCCCGATTTGCTTCATTAAGGTATCCATTCTCCTTACTCAGATGATCGTTGTCTTCAGATAGCTTGAGAATCTGCTTTTCTTGGTCATCCCTAACCATCTTAACCTCATCATTTTCCCTCTTCAGATCCTCCACTGTTTTTTGCAACTCTGATTTCTCGTTCTCTGTGGCAGTAAGTTTGTGTTCTGCTTCAGAAAGTTCAATTTCCTTTTGACTCAATAGATCCTTGCCATTAGCAATTTCATGATTCAATTGTTCACTGACAGATGCAACTGTTCTTAACGCATCCTCTGAAATCTTCAACTCCTCCTTCAGATGCAAATTTTCAAGCTGTACCTCTTCCAATTTTCCCCCCGTCATTCTTAACTTGCCCTCGAGGGCACCATTGACACCTTGAAGTTTGTCCAGATCTTCATTGAGCACCTTCAGTTCCACAGATTTCTCATTGATAATGTTCTTGAAAATCAGACAGAGGGTACTCAGAGATAACGTTTCACCTACAATAGAAAAGTTTTCCTCTTGAAGAGTACGCTCTTTTTCCTCCAAGTCCAAGAATCTCTTTGTCAAGAAACTTTTTTCTTCAAGCACCTTTGAGTTCTCTGTCTGTAAAATCTGGCAGGCCCCTTGCATATCCATAAACTTCCCATGAAGATTCTCTATTTCACTTGTTAGTACTTCCTCTTTTTGGTCCTTTTCCCTCACTTTCGATTGCAGCTCTTCATTCATCACTAGAAGCTTATTTGCCTCAATCTGCAACACAGAGAACTGTTCATTCTTTATATGGAGTTCCTGGTCAAGAATGTTCCTTTCCATCTCAACAGCATTTGCTTCTAATCTTAGATGCCCAAGCATTGTGACAAGAACCGAGATCTCAACTGCCAGCTTCTGATTTTCATCGTGTACTTCACAAAGAGAACTTTTTGTATCTTCAAGTTTGCTTAGCATGTGGTTCAAATATGTTTGGTCCTGGCCAATCTTTTCTTCACACCCGTGGCCTAGATCAATGTCAAAAGCTTTCAACAACTCATACATCCCCATCCTAAATCTGCTTCTTTGATCGGACAAGGATTTCACTTCCACCTGTTGCTCAAGATTTTTATGCTCTAATTCAGAAATCAGCTGTTCCGACAATTTGGATGCATCAAGGAGTTTATGAAACTCAGTCAACAGAGAGCGGCTCTTTTCTTCTAGATCTTGTACACATCTCTGCAAGATGAAAATCTGAAGTTGGTGTTTCATGGATTTGTCTAGCTCTTCTTCGAACTCTCTCCTCCTGCGGTGACCTTCTTCTTGTAGGAAACAGATCTGGTTTTCCATACCAGCCAACTTTGTCTTGCTCATTGTGGTCAAGCTGGCATATTCCTGCTTTTGTACATCCAAGGAAACGCGTAGTTCTTCTACTTCGTGAAGTGTGGACTCTTTCTCTTTCTCCAGAGCTGAGTATTTCTCTTCTACTTCTCTATATCCTTTCTCAAGGTCTTCAAATCTCTTCCGAGTGATTTCCACCTGAGAAAACAAGGCATCCTTCTCATCCATAAGACCAGATTTCTCATTTTCAAGCAGCTGGCATGAATCTTCTAAACTTTTCGATCTTATCTTCAACCCTTCAAGTTCATAATGAGCATCAGAAAGGGAATTCTCCAGAAAGGTGTTTTTCTCCGAGAGTTTCTCTAAATTCTCAGTAGTTACCTGTAACTGAGTTATTAGAGTGGCCTTCTCAGCAACAAGAGTAGATTTCTCTTCCAAAAGAGAATGAAAGGACTCTTCCAGTGCATTTATCTTCCCTCTAGCCCCTTCTAACTCAGCTCTCAAATCTGAAAGGGACTTTTCCAAAATGGCATTTTTCTCGAGAAGCTGTTGCATAATTTCTAACTTCACTAAAAGAGCTACTTTCTCACTTATTTCTCTCTCACAGGTTTCCTTTAGATTTGAGTTCTCATCCTGCAATTCCTTTACTGATGATTTAAAACAATCTGGGCTAAAGCCTACTTCCTCAACCTGGTCCAATATTGCTTGGTGTTTCTTGTTCAGCTCATTCAGTTCCTCTTTCAGACAGTAAATTTCTTGTTGAAGAGCATTTCTTTGGTCCACTCTGAGTTCAACCTCCTCTTCAAGTTTCCCTTTAGTCTCCGTTAAGTTAAAGATCTCATTTTGCATATCTTTTATTGACATGGCTGAAGATAAGTTAAGCTCGCTGAGGCTCTTGTTCTCTTCTTTAATCTTCAGGACTTCATCCCGCAAACTTTGATTATGAGTTTCAATGTCCCTTAAGAGTTGAGCCCTGTTTTGAAGCTCCGAAGCCATAGATCTCAGTTCTTCCTGAGTCTGAGAGTGCAAATGCTGTAGAGTTTGGAAAGCAGTTTCAGCCTCCACAAACCGGAATCGCTCTTCCTGAATGCAAGTCCACAATCTCCCCAACTCCTTCTGCTTCTCTGTAAGCTCTTCACTTTGAGCACCTGTCTTCAGCACCAACGATTCTAACTCAGAGTGAAGAGATTGATTAGATCTTTCCAACAGAAGACATTGTTCTTCAGCACCCTTTAACTTAGCAACCCTGCAATCTATTTCCCCATTAAGCCTTTGGACCTCCTCTTCAGCGCAGGAGATTTTATGCTCTAGACTTGAAATAGTTTCCAGGCACCGCTCATACTGGAGAGCGATAGCTTCCTTCTCTTCAGTCAATTTGGCAAGAGATTGCTTTAGATTTTCAACTTCCCTTTCAGCTTTGTCGGCTCGCTCACTAAGCTTTCTAGCATCCTCTTCAGCAAGCAATAATTTGTTCTCCAGAGTCGAAATCATCTCCAAAGAGTGTTTGTATTGATCAAGAGCAGCATCCTTTTCAGTTTCTAGTGTAGTAAGGTCTTGCTTTACGGCTTGAGCTTCAGTTTCGGCCTTGTGGGCTCGCTCATTGAGTTCCCCAGCATCCTCTTTGGCTTGAGAGATAACATTCTCAAGATTAGCTATCCTTTCCAAACACTGCTGGTACTGAAGAAGGCTAACTTCCTTTTCAGCTTCTAATTTAGTGATAGCTTCCTTCAAAGATTGAACTTCACCTTCAGCCTTGTTTGCTCGTTCATTAAGCCCTATGGAATCCTCTTGTGCACGAGAGACGTCTGATTCTAGCTTAGACAACCTCTCCAAACTCTGTTGGTACTGAGATAGGCCAGCCTCTTTCTCAGCTTCTAATTTGGCTAGTGTTTCCTTTAATGTTTGAATTTCCTTCTCAAATTTTCCCACCACTTCAGACTCAAACAAGGCTCGATCCCGGGTAACATGGTTCTCCTTGCTTTCAATGCTTCGTTCTTTTTCCTCTGCCTCATTAAAACTGAGGCCTTTTCTCACCCTTCCTTCTCCCGATTTTGCATTGTGTACCGACCCAAATAAATCATTGAACTGTTTCAAACCCTTTCTATTTGGTACGGAATCAGACTCTTCAGAAAAAGCCCCATTCCTCTTGACAGCATGAAAATGAGATGAAGACTGTCCTAAAGCATCACTTTGCAAATCATCAGGGTCAAAGAATGAATGTCTAGGGGTTGACGTCTCAGGTGTATGGGGATCCGTCTCAGAAGCAGAACTTGCAGGTGAATCATCACCAAGTACCATGGGGACTTGATTTGGAAATGCTTCTGCCATAGTCCGGTGAGCCTGCTGAAGCACCCCAGTTGCATTATCGTATCTTTCAGCCAATGCACGATATGCTCGATAGAATTCTTCAACCAATTTCATAAGCTCCGGACGTTTCTTATAGTACATCTCCGCCCTCCTTGCAAAGGAATCAGCATCCTCTTCAATAAGTTTGATCATTGCTTTGACTTTGGCATCCATATCTGTACAACAGGAGATAAAAATAAATAAATAAATAAAAACTTTTATTGAGTTCACACATACACACAAAAGAGACTGACCTGAAAGTAGGAAAAAGAAATTTAGGGAAAAGGAATTATAGCAAAATTACAATATTGTGATGCATTAGCCAAAAACCACCAAGGAGGGGAAACAATTATCTCCCAAATGTTTTTAAAACTAAAAATAGGGGAAGCTCGAGTTCAGTCATTACATGTGGCCTGGCAACGTCATGAACCAGACAAATGAAGTATTTTATCAGTTGACTCAATATTTGAGGTAGACAATTCACATAATTTCCACTACAAACTATTCAATTAAACTGTAGTCTATAGCCCTTTTTTCACATGCAATACAAGTTGAACTGAAACATTTGAATAAAGAAACATGTATAGCATACATAAAATCCATACATAACCACTGGGGTTAGCCCAGTCACCAGAGTCCATGTAACTCACTAGGAGGTCACGGGTTCAATTCCCCCTGCCTCCCGATGTACTAAAAGATAAAATAAAATCCATAAATGTTATTATGAAGCAACAACAGGCCACATCTGGATTTTTATACCAAAATTATAAATCACATGCTAAGAAACACACAGAATACAAGTACAAGGTTGAAATTCAGTGTAACACCAAGTATTCTGTTATCAAACTTAGTTTATTTATGTTGACAGTAACTTCCAATCTAAATTTGAAGTTGTACCTAGGCAACCACCTCCATAACACCACATAACCACCTATGCTTCAATTAATACTTTCTTGTAATACATTATTACCATCCCTTATATGCAGGAAAAGTTGTTGTCAATCTAAATTGAAGTTGTACCCACACAACCACCTCAATAACACCAGAAAACCCCCAATGTTTCAATTAGTTATTTTCTTGTGATACATCACTACCATCCCTTATGTACAAAAAATTACTATTATATTTGGCATAGATTACTGAAACTGAAACTGATTCTGACTATTACATAAATAGCAATCAGATAACTGATTAAAACCTAATCATTTGGTAAAATATTGACTGTGAGACTTGTTCATGAGTTGATAGATATTTTGATCAAGTGATTACAGGCTAATATTTATAATTTGTTAACCAACTTAATTCTTGAAATAAAAAACCAATTAAAATCTTATTACAGCAACAATAATCAAAACCAAACATAGCATAAGTATCAAAAGACAAATAAGCAATGGACTTGTTGCCTAATATAAGTTCAAATTTCAAAGACAGCGAAAGTTTAGTCAATCTATCACAAGTCTAAAACTTAAAATAAATTTCCATGATGAAGTCTTTTGTATTGCAATTTTCATATAATTTGAAGTTTTTTTCAGCTGTCACCATCTGTTTGCAATTTGTTTGAATTCCATTCCTATTCTCTTTGGGGCATGTGCAACTTGCAAAGTGCAGGTTCGTTAGACTTGTTGCACATCAAACAGGTTTTTTCTACTTTTGGGAAACTTTCTTTTGTGGCACCAAAGCAACATTGAAACTCAATTGTTATGTTTTAAGATTTCCTTGGACGATGTTGTGTTATAATTAGGTTTCCTTGAATGCTTAACAATCCATCTGAAACTCCACTGCCTTATTTTACTAAAAAAGCAAGGAGACTTCATTTATGTTATCAAACCAGTTGAAGGAAAAAAGAACCCAAAAAATCTAACTTTATTTTTTCTATTTTGTACAAAGTTACCTTATGGGGGCTTGAAAACCAAACCTCCCAACTGAGGTTTTTCAAGAAGCCCCCAACATGCCATTGACCAAACAAGACTTGGCGCAATGAATCCAACCTAATTAATGGTAACTACTTGAATTTTAAAAACCAGAAACAGAGTTAGGATAGATTTTCAATCCAACAACTACACATACTGATGAAGAAATGAAAAAGTAAACTCACTTCCCCTAGACAAACTGTTTCATGCTGTCAGGCACATTGACACAAGGCAACTGTATTTTAATATATGTTCTATGAACTTCCTTGGATACACATTCTCTCAATAAGGTTTAAATTTAAAACATAAAAATAAAAATAAAATTATCAGTTGGGTAGGGAATTCCTGCATGGCTGAGTTCCCACACATGGCCACGTGGAGTTCCTGGAACACCAGGTAACTTCCCGCTTAAATTATTCACAGCTAATCCGTCTACAAATGAAAAGCAAAAAACCAAATTTCCTTTTCCTTAGCAAATGTATCACCTACATTTTACTTTGTGAATCAATTATATCACATGCATTAGACATTATAAAAGAAGTGGAAGTGCAAAGCACTCAAAAGTGTGTAAGGTAAGCTCAATCATGACGATTTAAACTAGGTATAACAGATGGTTCATAAACATAATCATATGAGATAAGTGTATAAACATAATCTTATGAGATAGCCACCAAAATCTTTGAAAATCTAAGATGAAAAAGGGTGAAACTCGCAGCTTGCAAGAGGTCTTCTGTCCAACTACTATAATCCTACAATAACCATTTTGAGCATGTAATCTGGCAATCTGGCCTCAAGGAATGGAGTACATACAAAACCTAAAGCAGTGCACATTTCAGTTATTCAACAAGAAGCAAACTGAACTTGTATAGGACATAAAAATATACCTGTAAGATTCTCCTGGAGCCATTTTGAATTTTTGGGACTTATGTGGCTGTCCCACCACCAAGAGTACATACGTCTAGATTGCCGATGAGATGGTGTTGACATGACTCCAATGATGATTGTAAACAATCAATTCCAACCAAGAAAAACTCAATTTGTGGACTGATATATAACCCAGGTAACCGATCCAAACCAGAACCAGATGATTAGAGTTTTAAAAACCCCAATTCAAAACTATTAGATAGAATTGAGTTTTCAAGATCTCACTCGTTGTACCTACTTTAAAAAACAAAAACAAACAACAACAAAAATTCAGTTTTGGGCAATCATAAATAATGAAATGGATCAAATTCTCGAAATCATGATAGAGAGATCAGAACCGGCAAGCAAAATACCTGAATAACAGAAATCAAGTGCAGAAATTTTGCACAAAACAACTGTTTCCTTCACGGAACAGTTTAGAAATTACCTGAACATCAATCAAGCACACCACAAATCAGAACAAAAGGGTAGATAATCAGATTCAACCAGAAGTACTCAGAAACAAGAAATCAAGATGCTTCAGCGTATCAGATTTTTCACTTTTTCAGAAAACAAGATCAAAAACAAGTAAAAATCATACTGATCAGAGACAAACCCATTAAAATATTGAACAAAGGGTGATCAAAAAACCCAAAAGAAATCGTGATTAGGTGAATCTACACACACATGTAATCTATTTACAGATAAATATGTAGACATAAACATGAAAAACTAACCAGAACAAATCAAAACTTTGATGGTGTTTGATTTGCAGCTGTTAGAAGAAGAAAAAAAAACTTCCAGCTGCTCAGACTTTCCTCTCACCCCATTCTAGGATGTGTAACTCTCTCTCTCTCTCTCTCTCTAAAAGTTTCTTTCTCTTTCTCTCTGTAGAATCTTTTTGGGTTTAGAGCTCTGTGTCGTATCACTGTTGGAGCCTATTGGAGAACTGTTGAATTAGGAACGAATAATAAAAAATAAAATAAATAAATATTTTACAAAATAAGGAATGAAGGCCTAGTTTGGGAACAAATTTTTTTTTAGTAACTTTCAATGTTTTGGTTAGAATATGATGTAAAAAAATTAGTATATTTAGGATAAATTTTTAAATTTTTACTAAAAGATGTGTAAAAAGTAAAGAGAAAATGAAATCTTTGACTTTTTAGTATAAGTTATTGACTTTTTAATTATTTTAGTAACTTTTTGACTTTTTTACTAAGAAAATCATTTTCCAAACATGGCCTAAAACCTATTTTGGTAATTCAGTTAAAAGTTTATTTTTAATATTTTAACTTTTTTGAGTTATATTATCTTTTTAATTTTTTATATTTTTTTAAAAAAATTAAAAATTTAATTTTTAACCTACTTTTCAAAATAGGCCTAAGATTATGATAATTACAATTGACAATAATATTACCTTTTTAAAAGCATTTTACAAAATATTTTTGGTAATAAATTGATTTTTATTTTTGAAATGGTTATTCACTTTTTGATTATTTTAGTAACTTTTTGACTTTTTTACTAAGAAAATCATTTTCCAAACATGGCCTAAAACCTATTTTGGTAATTCAGTTAAAAGTTTATTTTTTAATATTTTAACTTTTTTGAGTTATATTATCTTTTTAATTTTTTATATTTTTTAAAAAAAATTAAAAATTTAATTTTTAATCTACTTTTCAAAATAGGCCTAAGATTATGATAATTACAATTGACAATAATATTACCTTTTTAAAAGCATTTTACAAAATATTTTTGGTAATAAATTGATTTTTATTTTTGAAATGAAAATTTTCATATCAGTGTAAAACTTTAAAAAATAATTATAAATAAATAATAATTTTTTTCCATAAATATGTAATATTTTTTTTCAAATTATCGTAATTTCTCCTCTTTGGTATCAAAATTAATATAAATACAAATATAAGTGTTTAATAAATTATGTGAAATGACATGTCTGGCCTTGGTCAGAATTTCGAAAATGTTATTGGGTTTACAAGTTGACTGCCCCCCAATGCCTAGTCTGTTGTTCAAGTTTCTTAGAAATGTTATTATTTTAATCAAAATTATGAAGACCGTTGTGTACTTGTCCTGATACTAACGAGTACCTCTAATTCATTAGGCATTAGGCTAGGTTTGATTTGTTTTTTAGAAAAAATTTTGAGAAAAATTTTTTACAAATAAAATTTTAAGAGTAATTAAACAAAACAAATTTTTTAAAAAAAAATCTCAAAATTTTATTTAATTACTTACTTTCTAAAATCAGCCTCTCTCTCATACACATTAAATCAATTATTTTTTTTAAGAGTGATGCTTTTGACCCCCATTGGGGTGACCCCCAGTGGCACCCAGTGACGTGTCAGCCTCTCATTGGCTAAAAACAAAAAAAACAAAAAAAAATAATAATTTTCTTGGGCCAATCACAGCCGACCCCCAGCACACCCACTGGGGGTCCGAAGCATTTTCCTTTTTTTAAAACTTCCTTCCTAGAATAATTTTTCAAAACCATTTCTGAAAAAAGACAAATCAAATAAATTTTCGTACTTTTTATTTCAAAAACTACTCTACAAACACAAACTAAACACATCCATAATATTTGTTGGCCAAAATATTTATTATAATTTTTTTTTAATTTTAATATATTAGTCATATGATTAAATATTTTAACTCAATTCATATTTACTACATATAGTTAATCTTCAAAAACTAGGTAAAATATATTTAATTATTATAATCATTTTCCTCTATAATATTTGGATGAATATCTAAAATAAATAGTATAATTAGAGTAAAATCATGAAATAATTTACGAGTAAAGTAAAATATATACTTTATAATAATATTCAAAAGGTAAAATGTCGATTAGCGTTAGAGATGCACTAAGATGTTATGTATAATTTTATGTGATGCGAGGGATTTTGTAGGAAATTTGATAAAAAAAAAATTATGTTTCTAATATTTTCTATTTTTTTTAAATTTTTTATGTGTGACCTTATGGCTTCGTTTGGAAAGCGGGTTGGCTTTTTGGCTTTTTGATTTTTTTGACTATTTTAGCCTGGGCTAAAAAGTTTGGTTTGGGAATGACTTTTTGACTTTTTGGCTTTTTTTACTTTTTTTGTGAGAGAAGAGTGTAATGATTATGGGTTGGATGTGATGTTTTGTTTGTTATGGCTAAAATAGTCTATTTTGTCTTTTGTGGCTAAAATAGCCAAAAAAACCCATGAACCAACTTGCCAAACAGAGGTTATATATGTTTGAGTGTTGATAGATAATATTAGAATTAGAGCTCTAATGTCAACTCTCTAGTGATATGGTAATACATACCAAAAAAAAATGCAACATTAAAAGAGAGCAATGATTCATACCTCTAAATTTGGAACTCTAACAATAGATCTAATGATGTGGTATGGAGCAAAAAAAAAAACACATACATCAAATCATTTATGAGTGGGGCCCACTATCACATAAGTAGAGTGTAGGTCCTAATAAGTAGACTTAAGATGTGTTTGTTTTGAAGGATTAGGGAGTAGGATTGGACTATTAGTCCCACTGGACTAATAGTCCATTGTTTGTTTCATTTTTTTACTCCGGACTAATAGTTCCCCCGAACTATTAGTCCCATAAATATGGGACTATCCTATCCCATAGGGGGAGGTCGGATAGAAACCATGGGATTGGTATCCCACGGGATTATTTTGTGAAATGTCCATTTTACCCTCCATGCTATTACTTAGCAAATAATTAGAAAAGGATAAAATAGTCTTTTGAACATTTATAAATTATTTTTTTAGTGTCGTTAATTTAAAATTATATATTAAATAAAAAATTTTAATAATAAATTATAAATTATGGCCTTATAAATTAAATTTTTTTAGTGTTGTTAAAAAATTAAATTTACATATTGGACCAGGGTGTCTTGGATGATGTAGGCTCCAAGGCCGAAGATAAGGCTGTTGAGGAATTGGTTGAAGTGCGGATTGATACCGAGCAGCCGGACAAGTTCTTCTTGCTGGGCTCAAGTCTTAAATTATTTTTTTAGTGTTGTTAATTTAAAATTATATATTAAATAAAAAATATAAATTATAAATTATAAATTTAATTTAATTTAATTGAAAATAATAAATTAAAATAATTAAAATATTGTGAAAAAAATAAAATAAAACAATTTTTTATTTAATCTAGCTAAAAATAATTAAAATATTAAAGCTATGTTTAATATTGAATAATTGAAAATGATAAAATAGTCATTTGAGCATTTATCCTTCTCCATAATATTCCAAACAAACATTGGATAACTAAAAATAGTTCAATCCAGACATCTAATCCCATGACTAAACAAACATATACAAATTTAGTCCAACCAAATAGTCCCGGGACAATGTATCCCAGGACTAATAGTCCGATGGATTACAATCCCCCTTATCCAGTCCGTCCAAACAAACGCACCCTTATTGTCTAATAGGTTCTATAAAAAAAATTGTCTTAAAAAAAGTCACTAATTGTATGTTTTAGAGGCAATTTATAAAAATTATGACAAAAAAAAGTAACTAATTGTCAATTTTTAGCGCATATATAAAAAATTGTCACAAAAAAATTATTTTTAGTGAGAATATTACCAAGACTTATTTTCAATAGGACTTGATGGGAATTAAGTCTAACTATTATGACATATTGATAGTTTACCCCTATTTTTAGTGTTCTTAAAATAAGTTGGCTTTTAGTCACTTTTTTTGATTTGTAGCATAAGTCAAAAGTTAGTTTTTTTGTCTTTTTTTTTCATTTGGAAAGTTGGTTTTTAGCCAACGGTGAAATTACAATTTTACCCTCATTGGTCAAAATGTGTTACATAGGTGAAGTTGTAAATATTTTAAATAAATGGGGGTAGTTTGGTTATTTTATTATGATTTGACATCATAAACAAACATTAATCAAAAAAGTCAAAAAGTCACTTTTTACCAACTTCCCAAATCATTTGTCTAAAAAAGCCAAAAGCTTGGTTAAAAACTAAAAAGTCACTTTTTACCATCTTCCCAAAATAAGCCCAAATCACAAGGTGTGGCTCACTTCTAGAGTTCTTAACATTTTTATATATGTTTTTATGACCATATATCAGGTATAATGCCAACAGCAAGTTAAGTACATCTGAAATTATTTTGAAAATTTATTAATAAGTCTTATTTTATTTTTGAGATTAGATTAAATTACACATTACTTTTGAAATTTGAAGAAAATAAAATTTATTTTATATTTTTGACATAATTATATTAATTTTCTTTTTAATATAGTTAAAATGATTGAAATTAATATCAATATTAGATAAGTATTTAAATAAACAAAGAAAATGTAAGACATTTAATAAAAAAAAATTGATAAATTTTTTTTTAGTCTCTAGCATTAGTAAACATTATTTACCCTAAAGATTACTAATGGATTACGTTTGAATAAGATAAATTTTGAAAGAGAATGGGAATGTCATTAATAGTAATAAATTCCTCGAGTTAATGTTATTAAAGTGTTCGGTTTCTTTAGAAATCTTAAATTAAAAAATAAAAAATTTGAAAATACCGTGGACCCAATTATTTTTTTACTCTTAAATATTTAGGGCAAATTACAAACACCCCTTCGAAGTTTGGTGAAAATACAGATTTCTCAATAAAGTTTGAGAAATTACAAATTATCCCCTGATAATCAAATTTACATAACAAATTAGGGAGAATCTGTATGAAAATAAAAACTTCAGGGGGCAATTTATTATGAAAATATAAACCTCAGGGGGCGGGATGTAATTTCTCAACAAGGAGAACTATGAAAATTGGAGTATTCAAATGCAAGTCCTAATAGCCTCACAAGATTTGTGGGAGTTAGTGGATTGAGGATATGACGAGCCAGCTACTCTCGAAGATGAAGGAAGTTTAAATGAAGTTCAGAAG